GTAGCTGATATAATTTCCGCAGCTGAAGGAAGGCGCCCCTGGCCACCGAGTCCACCTGGGCTTCCAGAGTTAGACTGGGGTCCAGGAGCACCCCAAGCTCTGGACCCTGTTCCTTAGGGGGAGTGTAACCCCATTCAGGGCAGGGAAATGGCCCTCCAGCCTGTCCGGTGAAGCACGCACTAACAAGCACGCACTAACAGCACTTCCGTCTTGTCTGGCTTGAGTTTCAATGTATTAACCCTCATCCAGTCCATTGGGTCGAGACATAAGTTCAGCACAGAAACCGCCTCAGCTGGGTTGGTGGAAAACGAGAGGTAGAGCTGAGTGTCATTAGCATATTGCTGACTGCTCAGCCCAAACCTCCTGATGACCTCTCCCAGCGGTTCCATGTAGAGGTTGAACAGCATGGGGGACAGTATCGAGCCCTGAGGAACCCCATGAGATAAATGCCATGGGACAGAGCAACTGTCCCAGCACCACCCTCTGGACACGGTCAGCCAGGAACGAGCGGAACCACCGTAAAGCGATGCCCCCAACTCCCAACCCAGCCAGCCTATCCAGAAGGACACCATGGTCGATGGTGTTGAAAGCTGCTGAGAGGTCCAGGAGTATCAACAGAGTCACACTCCCCCTGTCTCTGTCCCGGCCAAGGTCATTGTACATGGCAATCAGGGCAGTCTCCGTACCAAAACCTGGCCTGAAACCCGATTGAAATGGATCCAGTCCATTTTAGTCCACTTTGAAATATTCTGTGATAAAGGATAACATAGGAGAGTCCATTCTTTCTTACTGTTTCTTCTTTGAAGTTTCTGGAATGGGATATATTCCCAGGTGTCTATACGGTTATGTACAATTCTATATTTCATAGTCTACTAAACCCTCAGTTTCTTCACAATTGTGAAGCAGCTGTTGCACTTATTCTGCAAAGTCAGTCGTAATGGAGCGCATGAGGAGGAGGAGGAACTCCCTGTAATACAGGGAATCAGACACTTTAACTTTATTCTGGTCGGATATGAAGTTAAGCTTGTGATGCCTGGCATCTCTCACAACGAAACATGGGTTGCCTGGATCTAACCAAGCAGCTAGAGCATGCTCATGTTCAATGACAATGACAATGTCTCTCTCTCTCTTTTCGTTTATAGATGCTGGCGCTCCCGTCTACTTTTATGAATACCAGCACCGACCCACAGTCTTCAAAGACTTAAGACCAGATTTTGTAAAAGCAGATCATGGGGATGAGCTGGGCTTTGTTTTTGGAACACCGTTCTTAGGAAATGACACAATCAGTTTTGGTAAGTATGTATGATCAAGGAGAAATTGAAGGCAGGGTGGCAGGAAGATTGTAATGGGGCCACAATGAATACGTGAAGTTGGTAAAGCCAAGTGCAGATAGATAGATAGATAGATAGATAGATAGATAGATAGATAGATAGATAGATAGATAGAGAGAGAGAGAGAGAGAGAGAGAGAGAGAGAGAGAGAGAGAGAGAGAGAGCGCTACCAATTCTCCTTTACAAATGTCAACAATCAATTAGATGCTGGGTACTCCTCAGCATAACTATTCGATTTCAATACCCAGTTCCTTTTTTTCAGATTTGCTACCTGGTACCTGTTGTAATCCGGGGGGTGGGAGTTGTGCAGGAAATGCCTTTAAAAATATTTGGCATGGGAAGAGGTAGTAATGGAGACAAGTTTTCAAACTAGGCTGTAATGTCAGCCCATGCAAATATTATGCACTTTTTTGATAGCTTTTCTTTAATATATATATATTTATTTATTCAGTATAGTAGGACCACAGTATCCACAGGATTAGTACCCATGCTTTTTCCCACCTGAAAATATTAATTAAAAAAAAACCAGAAATACAGTACTGTATATGCTTCCAAGGTATATTACCAGAACTGGTCACTAGAGGAAACCATAAAGTACGCTACGCTAGAGCCTCGTGGCGCAGTGGTTAAACCGCTGTACTGCAGCTAAAACTGTGCTCACGACCTGGGGTTCAAATCCCAGGTAGTTGACTCAGCCTTCTATCCTTCCGAGGTCGGTAAAATGAGGACCCAGCTCGCTGGGGGGGGGGGCAATGTGTAGCCTGCATAATTAAATTGTAAACCGCCCAGAGAGTGCTTGAAGTGCTATGGGGCGGTATATAAGCAGCACACTTTGCTTTTTTTGCTTTTTAGATGTAAGGTTTCTATACCTGCCCTTTTTGGCATCTATGGGATGTTGTTTTTTTTTTTTTTAATTTTTTAATTTTATTTTCAAAACTATTGGGTAATGGGGAAGGAATACAAAAGGCAAAGGGCAGTGGGGGGGAATGGAAAAAGGGTTTTGAGAATAAGAAAACATCAAATGCATAATCATTCAATCTTACATATCAAGTATATAAACATCTAATCTATTCATGTTCC